GTAGTCTTTCTGCTAGTTTTTTTAATGACCAAATACTTTTTTATTGATGCTAATTGTTTTGATAATTTGCTGTTATATTTCTAAACTCTTATGGAAATTATTCATCGTAACATGGTCATGTTTAAAAGTATCTGAATGAATATAGAAATTTGTCTTTGAAACTATATTGCAACACCAAGAACATATTGTTAATACTTGACTAAGTGTCTAGACTTACTTTATTTCTCTAACACCTTAGTGATACTGGTAAACTACCAAGAACATATTGTTAATACTTGACTAAGTATCTAGACTTACTTTATTTCTCTAACACCTTAGTGATACTGGTAAACTATCAAGAACATATTGTTAATACTTGACTAAGTATCTAGACTTACTTTATATCTCCAACACCTTAGTGATACTGGTAAACTACCAAGAACATATTATTAATACTTGACTAAGTATCTAGACTTACTTTATTTCTCCAACACCTTAGTGATACTGGTAAACTACCAAGAACATATTGTTAATACTTGACTAAGTATCTAGACTTACTTTATTTCTCCAACACCTTAGTGATACTGGTAAACTACCAAGAACATATTGTTAATACTTGACTAAGTATCTAGACTTACTTTATTTCTCCAATACCTTAGTGATACTGGTAAACTACCAAGAACATATTGTTAATACTTGACTAAGTATCTAGACTCCTCCCACTTTACATGACATGAAAAATGTCAGGAGCATTCTGTCTTGGTGATCTGAGTTTAACATATGAAGCTACATCATATTTCATCCAATTGAGTTGTTGTAGGTAAGTTATAAATAAACAAGATCTTTTTAGGAACACCAGAATAGCTCAAGATGTTTTAAATATGTTTTAACAACTTGACTTAAAAATATAACAAATTAATAGTATAAAATGATACATTCATGAAAACCGTGACTTTTGTTATTAAAGAAATTATGTTATGACAATCATTCATGAAATACTCATCAAAATAAGCTTGAGCTTGTGATAATTGATGTATAGCATAGAGATAGACTGAAGACATTGACACTTTCCCACTGTATGAGAATGTAAAAAAAATTAACAATCTTTATGAAGGCTGACAAATCCTAATTTTAAGGACCAGTCAGAATTAGTGTTTCACAGCAACTAAAAAAAAATAAATCTAGCTTCTATTTAAATGTTGGAGTTAGAATATTTTCAGTAATTATAAAACCCATTTTTTCAATGTAGTTATTATTACCTCTGCCACCGAAGTGAACGGAGGTTATGTTTTCACCCGTGTGTAAATTTGTCAGCAAGATTGCTTGAAAATGGCTGAATGGATTTGGATCAGAAGTGATTAGTTTTTGGAAGGCCAATTTCATGCACATCCAAAAAATCCACATCTGTTAACATGGGGACCAATTTCTTTTCTATAACTCAGTCAAAAATGATCGAATTTTGATGAAACTTGGTGAACATATGTAGAATATTATTCCTCATTGTCCTGATAAAAATGTTCCATGTTCATAGATAAAGACGGACATACGAACACATTTTAGTATTTTTTGACAGCTGAATATGAATAATGCTACATGGTGGAGGTATGCACTCTCTTGAGTGCCCCTCTAGCTTAGACTGTAGTCACGCACTTGTACGGCATATTATCTGTGATACTAGTAATGGTAGGGTAACTATTTTACACACATGTGCAGCATATTATCCTTGATACTAGTGATGGTAGGATTGCTGTTTTACACACATGTGCAGCATATTATCCGTAATACTAGTAATGGTAGGGTAGCTATTTTACACACATGTGCAGCATATTACCCTTGATACTGGTGATGGTAGGATTGCTGCTTTACACACATGTGCAGCATATTATCCGTGATACTGGTGATGGTAGGATTGCTGTTTTACAATGATTAATAAAGTAATCAGAAACCTTACTGCAGATTTGCATACATGTAAACACCTACTACTTGCTGGTCATGCCTGTCTTTGTTTAATAGAACAATTGTTATATGTCAGTATATAAAATATAAAGTTCTTTGTTCATGTAATTTTCTTACGTTTTGTTTGCTTTAATGTTATTTGTTTTACAATAATTATTTTGTGTATTATATAGCATAAGTTATTTAAAGAATACATTATAACTTGAAAGTTGTTATTCAGTTTTAATTTGAATAAACAATAAAATCTATGTGGGGTAGACTAAGAAAACATTCAACGGAAAGTGTTAACCCAATAGTGAGATGTACACAAAACTTGCATGTATCTCGGCCAGAATTCTTGTGTTGTAATAAAGAACCTTTTGTTTCCATAGCAACAAAGTTTGTGCATGAACCTGGAACTTCTCACAGACAACATTGTTGTTTCAGCGAAAGAGGTGAGTTTACTATTTTACCTTTCACACAACACAACATCGAAAAACAAATCTGTTCTCTCATTGAATACCCTTATGTTAGGCCTATTATATTTTGTAACTACATTCTTAATCTAATCCTTTAGGGATTTTCAAGAATTAGAAGAGTATGTGATAATAGTATTTCAACCAAACTATTGTGAAAACCTTGATAAATATTGCTTGTTTATATTTCTATCCAAGAGGTTGTAGTGCATCACAGTTGTTACTCAACTTGTTTTTTCCAGGACCACCTGGTACTCTGGGATGTAAATCATGGTGAGCCACTGAGGATTGTGATGTTAGGCTCTGGGAACCAGGGTGTCTACATAAAACAACTCAAAATTGCAGATCGAGCAGTGGTGTGTGACTTTGGCCATCAGCTGTGTGTTATTCATTTCCCTGGTATTACAGAGAAAACTGAATAAACACCTCACTGTTGGTGTTTCCGGTGGTCCTAAGGTGTTAACATAATTGTTCAGCAAGTTGAACAACTAACTTTAGTCTTTAACATCTGTCAATAGTGGGTTTTGTGGTAAATTCACTATGCTGATTTTTGATTCTGCTAGTAAGTTTGAAGGTTGAAACTGTTGTCAATAAACAATCTCTTCAGCACAATAACTTCTCCATAAGCTTCAGATCCTCAGCAAGGTTGGGTTATACTAGTGTAAATATCATAAATGTTTTGCTAACATACTTTAACATTGTAAGTTTTAGATGTAGTTAAAAGTGATATAAAAAATGAAATATTCAATCTCTTTATTTCATTGGTGTGCTTGTACATCATGTGCATATTGGAGTTATGTCTAGCCACACAGTACCACAGATAAAACAGTGCTAAACCTTACTATGAAACTTTGATGTTATGTCTAGCTTTGTAATACCACAGATAAAATCAGTGCTAAACCACACTATAAGAACTTGAACTTATGCCTAGCCACATATCTACACTGAGCTAAAAGTTTTTAACAATAAACCTTGAGTATTTTGATGTTTTGTGTCCCCATTCATATGTTCTAAATATTGTTCATTTTACATGTGACCTATTACAGATATTTGTTATTTGTATAAATATTCTTTGTCAACACAATATACATGTAGGCTTGAAATTCAATCACTTGTTGCATGGCCTGGTGGTTAGGGCGCTCGACTCGCAATCTGCAGGTTACGGGTTTGAATCCCTGTCCCACCAAACATGCTTGCCCTTTCAGCCATGGGGGCATTATATTGTGACAGTCAATCCCACTATTCGTTGGTAAACCCAGAGTTGGCAGTGGGCGGTGATGACTAGCTGCCTTTCCTCTAGTCTTTCACTGCTTAATTAGGGACGGCTAGTGCAGAGAGCCCTCGTGTAGCTTTGCGTGAAATTCATAAGAAACAAACAAACAGTCACTTGTCATCTTATATTAACCTTCAAGATAGATGTTTCTGAGACTGAGGAGACAACTGTCACTTATTTTAAAGAAAACAAATTTTAATTTTTCTAATGTGTGTTATTTATCCCATTGGAGGGTCCTGTAGGTTCTTCTTTTGTTATATTACCTGTCATTGTAAATTCTCTAGCAGCCGAAAACTAAACGTACCACCATAAGCAAGGAACTCAGAAAAACAAACCCTTA